TCCAGATGCCCATGACGGCGTGCAGTGCCTGCTTCTTGGCGTTGCTGAGACGGTAGTTGACAGGCCAACGCACCATCCACATGCGATGGTAGGAGAGGGAGGCAACTGTGAAGCAGGTGGCCAGGGCCAGTGTGTAGTAGGTGGACACAAACACCTTGCAGATGCTCTCGTTCCAGTCATAGTCGGAAGAGGCCTGGCGCCGGAGCTGCACCACGGCGAAGGTGGTGAGGGGCACGGCTGCCATGAGTATGTGCGTGCCCGCCAGGAAGCAGAGCAGTAACTCCAGCGGCTTGTGCTTCTGCTGCTTGGCCGAGATGCTGAGGATGATCCAGGCATTGGCCAGCAGGGCCAGGAGGCCACAGGCCAGCCAAGACAATGCGTTTGAGCGCAGGGAGGCCTCCTCTGCCCCTGCCCCTCCCCGAGCCATCCTATATCCTCAGCCCCCCCACCCCCCTTGAACTCCTGGGGGTGGGGGCTAGGTCTCACCCAGGAGCCCCACTCACACACACACCCATGATGCGCCCAATCTCTGCCCTGTGGGGGAGCAGGCCGCCCAGCGGCCTACCCTACTGCTCAGCATTGCATGACTGACCCAGCTAAGGTGCGGTGTGGAGGGCAGGGGAGGAGACTGAGGGTCAGCAGAGGTGGTCCTCAGCCTCCATATTGGGTGGGAACCTTCCCAAAGTATCCCTGTGGTTGATGGGGGAGGCAAGCGGACTGCTTTCCCATCTATGACGTTGGCTGAGGAGCTCTGGTCCCCATGCCAGGACTTCCGGGTCTCTTCTTCCTCTGGTTCTCGACCAGTCAGGGATCTTCTGGGTGCTCCAAGGGGTGTGTGTGGGGGGGTGAGGCTCAGCCACCTGGACAAACTGCAAGGGAGAAATGACATGTGGGAGGGGAAGGGCAAAAGGTAGCGCCTAGGCTGTTCTCCAACTGACTTCTCACACCCCCTTCTCTTGAAACTGTAGAAATAACTGACTACTAGGGGTCATGGGGTCATTCAGAACATTCTCTTGCCTTAAATCAGATGGCCAGTCACACAGCGCACACAGCTAAGAGCCCTGCTTTCCTGACTGTCAGGAAAGAAGGTGTTCTGACCTCCTGTCTCCTATCCCTTTCAGCCCTTTTTCCTCCCTCTGCCATTCCCAGGTCCCTTCTTCTTATGTGCCCTGCTCAGTACTATTCGATCCCTAGCTTCATGTCCCTGAATCTCTCTTCAGAGCTACTGCTGCCAGGTGCACGGCTTGTTTCTTTTTTGAGGGTTCACGGTAAACTGGGATATGTGTGCTATCTCAGCTCCTCCCCAGAGTTCCGGCTCCTGGGCCCAGGGGTCTTGGTGCTCAGCCCCATTTCCCCAAGCCCGTGTGATCACCCTCTAGCTCACCAGGGATCTGGGAAGATGGGAGAAAGGAGGCTGGGACCAAGGGGGGGGGGCTAGGGAACCCGAAGGCGGGGAAACCGCTGACATCAGAAGCATCCAGAAATGGAAAGATGGGGAACTAGGGGGAAGGAGGAGAGTTTGAGCAGAAGAGAAAGAAAGAGGGGGCAAAGTGATAGTATCTGAAAATAGAAGGAAACCCCCAGAGACCCCTGGAGAGGAGGCTTGAGAGGGAAGAGAGGTAGTGTGGAAGGAGGGAGCAGGAAACAGGGAGGCTGAGAAGAAAAGCCCCATGTTCAATAAGGGGCTGACTCCCCCTGGTAGACCTCCACTCTTTCCTCCCCTGCCCTAGCCTCAGTTTCCCTCTGATGGGAAGGCGGGTAGTCCTGAATTTCAAGAAGCTGAGCTTCAGCGAGCCCTGGGGAGGGGGCTAAGAGGAAATCAGGGGAAGCCCTGAACCGAGTGGAGGCAAGAAGGATGAGCTAACGGCTTTGGGGGGGGGGCGGGAAACAGGGGTAAAAATGGGGCAGAGCAGTGAGAGGGTCTACTTGCTGTGGAAGAACCTCAGATCCTTGCCCTCCCTGAGAGGTCCTAGTCCACCCCCCACCTTTGTTCCCTCCGGAGCCCAGTACACCCTAGTTGCCATGGCAATGGCCAGCCAGAGGGAGGTGGAAGGAATTGGTCAGAAGCGCCCCCCCACTACTCTCCCCTACAGCCTTGCACCCCTTCCCACCTACCCCCACCCAGGCCCAGCGGGTGGGCTGTGGAAGAAAGAGATGGGGAGTCAGACAGGGAGGGAGGCAGGAAGGATGTGAAGGACAGAGAGGGGGTGAAGGACAGAGAAAGATCAGAGGAAGGTGGGAGAGGGGATCTGGGGGCCTCCACCGCGGACAGGGGTCCCTCGCCCTTCGGGGTGAAGGGGTAAGGTCAGGCGGCTCCTCCCTCCCGCCACCCACCGTGTTCTCCCGGGCAGTGACAGCAGGTGGCTGGGGAGGAGGGGCCGGCCGGAGGGGAGAGGAGGCGGCTGGGGGGGGAGGGGGGAGGCGGAGAGGGGGCCGCATGGGGGACAGGGCCGGGGTCGTCTTACCTCTGGCTGCGCCCGGCACTGCCATGGAGACCGCACTCCCGACGCCGCACGCCCGGGCTCCCGCCGCCTGCCGGCTCCAGCTCGCCCGCCCTCCTCCTTCCCTCCCTCCTTCCCTCCGGGCCTCCCTCCCCCCCACCCTTGGTCCCAGCCTCCCGGGCTCGGCCCGCCGCTCACTGAGTCTCTGCCCCCCACCCCAGGTCTGTGGGAGCCCCCGTCTCCTGGAGGCGCGCCGCCAGTGAGCCCCGGGTCAGGGGCCGGCCGGGAGCGGCTCCGGGTGGGGGGGGGCGCGGGGGCGAGTGCGGGGCGGGGAACTGGACGGCTGCGACTTGGAGGGGGAGGGGCGGGGAAGGCGCCGGCAGGGAGGGGGCGAGGACGCTGGCGGGGAACCGGCTTCATTGGTGAGACGGTTCGTGTCCTGCCCCCACCCCACCCCGGTTTTCCACACGAACACCAGCTCAGAGAGGCAGCTGGTGGTGTTCGGGGAGGAGGAAGCGTGTGTCACTGTGTGTATCCGCGAGGGCTGCGCCCCGCCCGGGGGTGCAGCTCAGACGGGCAAGTGCTGGAGGTTGTGCTGAAGCTAGGACTTCTGGGGGGTGGGGGGACACAGGTCTCAATGCACCCCCCCCGCACACACATATCGCTTCCTCCTCCTGGAACACAAACTCACACTTGTGTTGGGGGTGCAGCTCAGACCGGCAAGTGCTGGAGGTTGTGCTGAAGCTAGGGCTTTTGGGGTGTGTGGGGGACACAGGTCTCAACGCACCCCCCCCACACACATATCGCTTCTTCCTCCTGGAACACAAACTCACACTTGTGTTGGGGATGCACAAAATTAGCAGGCACGCATTACAGTTTCTCTTGGTCCTTTCTCTCTCCCGCACACATACGTGTGTAGAGCACACACAACCCTGCAGCCTCTCCCTCGGTACAGCTCCAGCGCAGGATTACGAAGTCTGGGGCTCCTGCACGCCAGGGCCCTGTGGGCTGGGCAGGTGGGTAATCAGCCTCCAAAGAATCCCCCCTTCCCCGCCCCCCCAGGGAAACTTCATCTCCTTCCCCTGGCAAGCCTGGCAACCTCTCCTCTGGGTCTGATCCAGAAGATCCAGGTCCCCAGAGAAGAGTCTGTCTGTCTGCCTGTCTGTCACATACACACACGGACACACGAAGAGCATCTTCTTTACAGTAAGTTTATTGTATTTTTCTGTCAGCTCAGGGACGCAGGGGCAGGAGTGGGCAGGAATAGCAAGCAAGCAGTGGGGAGCCCTCCTGGAAGGGGCAGGCTGGAAAGAGGAGACTAGGGAGAGGGGGTAGGGACTGAGATAGGTGGTGAGAAAGGGAAGGAAGGAGAGGCAGAGGAGGCTGGGCATCCTGAGAGAAATGGATCAAGAGGAGGAAGAAGACTACTTGTAACCCCAATTTTCTTGTATCCTGGTGTGGTGTGGGGGAGGGCTGAAGGAAAGTACAGGGCAGGGGGACTGAAGCGCGGCTCTGTCAGCCTTCACAAGACGTCCCCTCAGAGGGTTCCCTCTCCAGCCATCTCCCCAGCCCCTCCCCCGGGCAAAGCTCACCTTCCAGAAGGTTCTGCAACAGGGTGAGTGGTAGGTCACTGGGCACTCTCTCCCACAGGGCCCATGCTCCCAGCCTGTGCTCTGATTAGGAGGACTGACAGCTTTGTCCTCTGGCAACAGGCTTCTGTCCGTGTTTCTGAACTCTCTGAGGCAGGCCCTGCCTGGGGTGGTGTGCTCTTATGAATCCAGAGGTGGGTCCTGGACAGCAGTGACTAATCAGCTACAGAGACCCGCGTGGTACTTGTCTCTGTGTTCAGGGTACGGCCCTGGAACTAGGCTTGAGGAGACCTGGGCTAGTCCCCTGGCACTGACTAAGCTGTGTGACTTGGGCAATCAGCTGACCTCTCTGAGTTCCATTTCTGGCCTATAAATTGGAGATGCTAATCTTGGTCCTGACACTACTAAGCTCTGTAAGATCTTCTTAAGGTTTAAACAGACAAAGGATGTGAAACTGGCTCATAAACTGACACGTACTGTTTGGATAAGGAATCATGTCTGTGCACAAGTGTGCGCTCTATACATGGGTGTGGGTCCAGGGTTGCCTGTTTGTGCACAGGTCACGATGTGAGTCTGTGTCCTGCCAACTCAGAGTGAGAAGCAAGCCAAATGGAGCCATGGAGGCAGCTGAGTCACGAGCCTTTGGATCTGGATCTACCCTCCTCTGGCTGTGTGATCTTGGGCTGGTCCCTGCCTCCTCTGGTCCCAAGGTCCCATCCAGTAAAATGACAGTCCTGTGCTTCATGCTTCAGACACCCAGCCTTGCCCTCCAAGCCAGGCAGGGCTGGTCCCACGTGATTCCCCAGGGACCAGTGGGCCATGGGGGAGAGAGCTGGGAAGAAATCATCGATAGGGTTAGGCTTGATACAAAGGAAATGGGGAAGAAATGATGTAAGCCTCTGCAAGAGGAGGACCAAGGGCCAAGTGTGGACAAAGGAGAGCTGGAGTGGGCCGGAAATGTTGGGGTCTTCTACATTCATCTGGTCCAAAGGCCCAGGAGCCCAGGAGGAAAGGCAGGGGAAAGACAGCTGGGGAGGCTGCAAGCCGGAAACGCCCCTGGCCCTGTGCCTCAAATGAGATTGCATGTCTTCTGGAGCCTGCTGGAGGAACAAGGAAGAGCAAGTTTATTCTTTTCCAAACTCCTTTGCATCCTCGAAGCTCCATGTCTCCCAGTCCGCACTCTCCCTTCTTGTGCAGTGGTGGCCTCTGGGCCCCAGCTGCAGGGTGGTATCCAGAAATATTCCAGGCCTGCTGCCGCCTCGCCTCTGCTCTCCACCCCCTTCCTGCTTCCTACCTCCTCAGCCACCCCTTTGCACCCTTCTTTGCCCTCCACCACCTCCCTTGAGCCCCCATTTTTCTCACCTCCATCCCGCCTCCCTTCCCTCTCTTCTCCCACCCCCCACCCCTACTCGCCACCCTCCTCTTCCCCTTCCCACTCTCTGCCCCCCCCCAACCTCCCCACCCCCACCAGTTCCTTACTGGGAGCACTGGCAGGTCTTGTTCTCACTGAGGAGTCTCTTGATCTGAGACATCCGCTCTGCCTGGCGCTGTCCAGGAAGAAGGAGGGGAGTCGTGAGGGTCCCAGGCCTCCAGAAGGGAGGTGCCCCTTGGAGGGGGGAGTGGGGAGAGCCGGGAGAGGAGAAGCAGTCACTGTGGCTGAGGCCATCTGTCCCAGAATTAACTCTTTGCTCTTTCCAGTCTCTCCCTCTGCATGGGGCCTGGGACAGGGCCCAGTCTGCTGTGAGGGAACGGGGTGGGCGGGCAGAGAGCCTGAGCAGAAGCAGCTCACATATACAGAATACCTTTGTTGCTCTACCAGCCCCAGGGGCTCGGATGCCCTGTGGGGAGTGAAAGGGGGGGTCTGGGGCGGCTCACTCACCCTGCGGTGCCAGCATTTAACACAGCAGAAGATGCAGAGCCCAATGAAAAGCAGAAGGCCTAAGATCCCGCCCAGCACAATGGCCAAGAGCTTTGGCCAGGCCTTGGTGAGCACTGGGGACAAAACTGCAAGCAAGAGAGAGAGAGATGTTTCAGCTCACTGCCCTCTGTCAGGGTGCCGGGCGTTCTGGAGGGCCCCTGGAAGGCCTCGCTGCCCAGCTACACTTGGGGCTCAGCCTTGGGCCGGGAGAGCAGGGCAGGGTGCACAGGGCTCTCACAGGCCACCAGGGCTGAACGGGAAAGGCTGGGGCAGGGTTTTGTTTTTTTTTTTTTTAAGATTTTTATTTATTTATTTGAGAGAGAGAGAATGAGAGATAGAAAGCCCGAAAGGGAAGAGGGTCAGAGGGAGAAGCAGACTCCCTGCTGAGCAGGGAGCCCGATGTGGGACTCGATCCCGGGACTCCAGGATCATGACCTGAGCCGAAGGCAGTCGCTTAACCAACTGAGCCACCCAGGCGCCCTGGGGCAGGGGTTTTAAGGTTTAGAGACTACAGGGCACTCCGGGGAACTGGAAGCAGCGGTTTCAGGCTGTGCACAGGGCACGCGTGTGTGCATGTGTGTGTGTGTGTGTCCAGGTTCTGAAAGGAGCCAAGAGAGGCGGCTCTTGGTCAGATAGGCTCCATTCCTGGACTATAGACCTCAAGGAGGTGGTAACTTGTGGGGTTACAGGTAGGAACCACACCTCGCCTTACCTCATTCCCCGTGTGTGTCCAGGCAGCAGGAGAATAACCCACCCCTCTCAGAGGAATTGGGAGGCTGGGACTCTGGGTGGTCTCCTCCAACCTGGGGAAGGTCCCACAGCTGAAGAGGGAGGGCCTTGGAGTTAGGCCATGGAACCTGGATCCTCACTCACCCTCGACCTTGGAGGCTAGCAGGACTTTGTCCTTGTCACTCAGTAGACACTGCCATGTTCCCCTCTCAGGGTCCACCACAGATACCAGCTTCTGCTGCTTCGAGAATTTGGCAGCCCGCTCTTCCAGATTCAAGCTCAGAGTCAGCTCAGGGGAGGTGGGTCCTAGCACCTCGCAGGTCAAATTGTTCTGAGACTTAGTCACTGCAGAGGGACAAGAACCTGAGGCTGGGAGCCTGGATCTCTGAGCTCCTGGCACCTCCATGCTCTAAGGGGCTTCAGTAGAACCATCAAAATGCTTCACACAGATGATCCTCTTTGAGCCTCTCAGAGCACATTTTTAAGCAGTTACATAAAGAAAACACAGCTTTTGAGGCCCAGGGTCTTGGACTTGAATCTTAGCCCCACTGCTTACTATCTGTGTGTCCCTGCAAGTTACTCGACAACCCAAGCCCCAGACATTAATTAAATACACAGTAAATTCACAAACACATGTAAAGCTCTTGAATGGGTCTGGCACATTTGAAGAAGCATCAATTATTAGCCATTATTATTTGTGGAGTTATGATGGTGGGGGAGATAAGGAAGTGAAGAGTTCAGTGTGGATGGAGCCTGACACTACCTTTATCGCTATCATACAAAGAGCAGATTTTATTATCCTCATTAGGAGAAAGAGGCCCACAGAGGCAAGGGGCTTAGTCAGGGCCACAGAAGGTTGCGTGAAGGCAGAATTAGAGCCTGGTTCTCAGCTCTCACCCTTTGGGGATTCTCAGCAGAGCCCACCCGGGCTGGCTCATGGATGTCAAAGAAGGACATGTGGATTCCAGTCTCCGTTCCAAACCAGCCCCAAACCAGAAGGCCCTGGATCAGCTCCATCAGGAAACTAGGGCCAGGGCCGAGGCATCCTTTTCAGGGCCAACCCAACCTCAGAGCCCTGGACCATGCCCGTCCACTTCCCGCCCCTGCTCAGCCTACCTCCTCACCTCTCATCACCACGAGATTCACTTCCCGCTGCAATGTTCCCTTGGCAAGACTCAGGGTCAGGTTTCCAGAACCAGCATACTGAGACAAAGCCTGGGGCAGGATAAAGCTGAGCGGGGGAAAACCCTTCATCTGGAGTCTGGCGTGGTGAGTATCTTTCAACGATAGCTTCCCGTTCTCCAAGACGAAGGAGATCCAGAGCCGGGAAGAGGGAGTCCCCTCTGCCTGCCACCTCAGCTCCCCGCTCAGGTTTTCATCTTCGAAGTTAAGCGGGAAGGAGAACTCCACCTGCTCCCCTTCTTTTGTATAGACTGTGTTAGAGACCTTCTGGAAAGCTGGAGGCGCGAAGAGAGAGGAGCTGGGTCAGGAGAAAGGAAGATGAGGGTGTATGGGGTAGGGTGGGCATGGGCTGGGGGCGGTAAAGAGATGGAAGGGGCGGGACCAGGTGAGTCCAAACCCTTAGGTTGCCACTTCAGGCCCTTAAATTCCCATCTACCTCTCCCATCCTCTCTGGTCTCTCCACCCCAGCACGTTCCCAAGGCAGCACCTCCTCCCCCTAGAAGCCCTCACAGAACAGCCCAGCAACAGGAGACCTCTCCCTCCCCAGGATCCCTGGAGCACAGAGGGCATTTGGCATGCACTACTTAGGTGCATAGTTTATCAGCCTTCGTAAGATAAGAGCAAATGCCTGCCTCGGGCTTACTATGTGCCATGCATTACACACATTCATTCTCACGGTAACACTACAAGGTAGGTACTGTCACGGTGAGCCTCATCCCTGAAACCAAGGCACGGAGAGGTTCAGTAACTGGCCCAAGTTCTTGTGGTTAAGTCAGAGCCGGGATTTCCTCGGGACAGATTTCAGCTCCAGGGGGACTGGCCCTAGCTGCCCTCTGTTGGCCTGCAGTGGACCCAGGAGCCGAGCAGTGAGAGCAGAGGGCGGATCTGTCTGCCACTGAGGCAGAGGGGAGACTGCAGGGGGGAAGCGCCGCTCTTACCCAGCACCAAGATGTTTATGTTGAACACCACTGTCTTCTGGTTCTGGGAGATGGTGCATGTCCAGGTACCGCTCTCCTGCGGCTCCACCCCAGACAGTGAGAGGCTCTGGCCACTGCTCTTGCTTTTATTCCCTGGACCTTTCCATTGCACGGAAGGGCTACTACCAGAGGGGCCCTCCACGGTCAGGGTCAGCTGCTGCCCTTGCAGGAGGCGGATGTTGCTGCCGCCGCCACTGCCGGTGTCCCACTTGGCAGTCACTGTGGAGGAGCAGGCCACCCGGGTCACACACACGCCATCCCCAAGGGGAAGGAAGAAGCCAGGACACCAGGAGTGTCTCTCCATTACCCCCGCCAAGACCCAGCAACCCAGCCCCAGCCCGGGGCACAGTTATCCTCTCTTCCTCCTGCTGTCTCCCCTCCTCTCTGCCTCTGTTGCTCTCCCTCCTTCCTCGGGCTCCTGCCCTTCTCTCCCCACCCCCCACCCCCCAGGTTTCTTCCTTTCCCGCTGAGCAACCGGAGGCCCGAGGAGGGTTTGAGGAGACGTGGGGGCCCATCTGAGCCGTCCCGGGACTGTGGAGGGACCACGAGCTCAGGGCTTGGCTTTGGTGCATGAACGGGAGTCAGAGAGAAAGGCAGGTTGGTGGGAGGGACCCTCATCTACTCACAGTCGAACACCAGCAACTCCACCTCTTGCTTCTTGCCCTCTACCTCACAGAAGTAAACCCCTGAGTCTGCTGCTTCAAGATCCTTGATGATCAGAGGAAAGGATCCTTGGTCCCACAGGTTTTTTTTCGATTCGACGCGGTGCTTCAGCTTGGAGGCACCTGGGAGCAGAAACCATATGGAGGAGGTTGGGGTAGCCTGAAGGCGTGGCATCCCTCAGGAGGGCAAAGCCCACAACTCTTCTGATCTCGGTCCCTAACTTCCTGCAGAATCTGCCCCAAGTCAGAAAACCCCAGACTGGTGAGGCCGTCCCATCACACTCACGTAATTGGCCAGGACAATATCTTGTTAATCTGAAATAAAATAATATCCTTATTTCAAGAGCACCAACTCCTACAGTGCCAATACTTGACACGCATCATCTCAAGTGATCTTCACAACAATTCCAGGAAGTAGGTACTGTTTGGCCTGTTTTGCAGATTATGTAGTTGCCCCGCCTCGTACTTACGCACTGGTGGCAGGAACATAAATGAGTACGATTTCTTTTTGGAAGGTAATTTACAATATCTACCAGAATTACAAATGCACATACAAAAGTACCTGTCCACCAAGAAAGAATAGGTCAAGTAAATTATAGTTCGCCCCTTCAGTGCAATGCTGTACGAGAAGAAGGAAGCTATCTACTGAATGGAAGAATAGCTAAGAAACATCATTAAGTAAACAAAGCAAAATATTAGACAGGCTACCATTTGTCTACAAAGGAGGGAGAAATTTATCTATCTTTATCTATCTCTCTGCAGATGCCGTGTATAGGAACACATGTTTCCAGAAGTAAACAGAAGAACATGGTAACTTGGGTTGCCCCCGGAGCCAAGCGTGGGAGGGGGCTTCTCACGACATACCCTTTCCTACCTTTAGGATTTGACTCCAGTAAGTGGCGGAGTCAGGATTAAAATCCAGGCCTGTTAGGTATACTAGCAGCACTGTGTCTGGAAGGTTCCTCAGGCAGGGCCATGTGGCCTCCTCCAGTCTCCTCCCTTTGTACCTAACCACCATCACCAGGAGGAAGTTCTTCTCTTTAGCTAATCACTTTCTGGGTGTGGCGGCAGCCCCAGAATTCCTGTAGAGGGAGGGCTTTAAAGGCTAATCTTACACAGCAAATGCACAGTTTTTAGTTAAAATACGTATTTGGAGGGATGAGGCGAAGGTGGCTGAGAGCAAAACCCCACCCTCAATCCCTTGGGCTCCGCTTCCGTCCCCCCTGAGCAGTCACAGACCCTCTCCCTGTTTTCTCCTGGGTGCGGGAGTCTGGGGGTCATGCCAGCCGAGCATTCTCCCCCACCTCCTGCTGCCCCCACTCCCCAGGCTCATCCTCCGTGGGAGACCTTTCCAGATGAGCTGTAACCCTGGGCTCTCCCTCAGCACTGCCCCAAGGGCCCTGTACTTGACTCTGGGAGTCCCTGCCCTCTGGCTCTTTCCCTGGCTCTGCACTTTGCGTAGCTCCCCTGTGGCTCGGAAATCCTGTTGCATTCTTTTCACAACTTACCAAGCTTCTTAGACTAGTAGCCCCCTCGGGTTCTACACCCTTTTCTACCTTTTTGGTCCTCTCCTCCTTCGTGAGCACCATTTCCTTTTCTTCATCTTGGGCTCTTGCTCTGAAGACTGCATTTAAGTGTTACCCAGACTCTGTCTCACGGTCTCTTCCCCATTTCCACAGACATTCTAAATCCCAGGGCAACGCCTGCCAGCGCTGTGAATGACTCCCAAATTGATATTCCCGGCCTCAACCTCTCTCCTCAGTTCTGGGCCCACATTTCCAATGGCCCAAGGCATAACTTTATCTGAAAATCCTGCCATCCCCCAAAACTCACTTGGTTGAAAATGAAGTGGGTCAGCCTTTTCCTAAAATAACTCTTCCTCCTTGCTTTCCTTTTCCTCTTCTGGGCCCTGTCACTTGGGCAGGCTGTCACATACTTTGTAGAAGAGATCGCAAGGTGGTGCAAGAGGTCTAAGAGTAGGGGTGAGTCTGGGATAAATCGTGGAGAAGACCCGTGTTGACCAAGCCTTAAAAGAAGAATAGGCAGTGTGCCAGAACGAAGTGGGGGGAATGAGCACATCCAGGAAGTGGAAAGGCTCCAGGAGAGCAGTATAAGCAACCACCTCAAAGCAATGAGGAAACCACGAGGGTGTCTAGGTTTCCAGCTGGGAAGCTGGGGGAAGTGATGGCCAGGTGGTGAATGTCCAGCAGAGGCTTCTGGGCCGGGTCCGACGGACTAGAGGTGACATGTACAAGGCATTGCTTTGGAAGTCAGTACCGAAGCAGGTGGAAGAGAAATCAAGGTAGGAGGGACCAGGAACAGAGAGAATTGCCCAGAAGCTTCCCCTGTAATCCAGGTGGGGGAGTTCTGTGGTCAGGGCTAATGACGGTGCCATTCTCACAGGAACAAAGAAGATTGTTAAATAACAAAAATTCAACTGAGTGAATTGTAGGGATCTAATTGGCCTTATTAATGGATTCATGAATTGGGCAGCATCCTATCTAGCAAGTAAAGGGGAGCTCTGAAGGGCTACAGAGAAGGAAAGTGTTTGTTTGGTTGTTTGTTTTAAGGTATTTATTTATTTATTTATTTGAGAGAGAGAGAGAGAGAGAGAGGGGGAGAGCCTGGAGGGGGGAGGGGCAGAGGGACGAGCAGACTCCCTACTGAGTGCAGAGCTCGACACAGGGCTGGATCCCAGGACCCTGAGATCATGACCTGAGCCGAAGGCAGATGCTTAAGCTTAACTCACTGAGCCAGTCAGTTACCTCAGAAAAGAAAAGGTTATTAAAGGTAGAGAGGAAGTGGAGAAAAGGAAATTATTAGCAAAGACTCCATTGTTTTAAGCAAGATCACCCTCCTAAGGGAAACAGAAGGGGTCCATCAGTAAATTTCCTAGTGCTGATCAGGAAATTCCCATGTTGACTAGTTAAAGGTCACATTTCTGGGGGTTGAAACTGCAGTTAGGTTTTAAGTTAGTTAAGGTATTAAGTCTTGGTTTACTGACTTGGGGCCTTACCCTAAGTGACACCATTTTGGGCCTGTCACTTTCATTTTAATAAAATGAAACAGAAAAACATTTTCAAAGGAAGGAATGGTCATCATGGGTGACTGATGGGAAACCAGGGATTGACGTAGAGAAAAAAAAAAAAATCCTGACTCTGGTTCAGAAACTGGGGAAGTCACGAGAGAGAAACTGCCCTCATCAGAGATCAGGAAGTTGAGAAAGCAAGCTGTTCTGGAAGAAAGTCAAATCCTAAAACAGAACAAAAGCACTGACACAAAAGACGAGAATTTTTAGAAAGGAGCACATTGGGAGCACACTGGGAGCACATTGGGGGCACCTGAGTGGCTTGGTCGTTAAGCGTCTGCCTTCGGCTCAGGTCATGATCCCAGGGTCCTGGGATCGAGCCCCGCATCGGGCTCCCTGCTCGGCGGGAAGCCTGCTTCTCCCTCTCCCACTCCCCCTGCTTGTGTTCCCTCTCTCGCTGTGTCTCTCTCTGTCAAATAAATAAATAAAATCTTAAAAAAAAAAAAAATAGAAAGGAGCACATCGTTTCAACCTCACAGGCAATCAAAAAAATGCAAATTAAAACAATGATATATTTTTCAACTATCAAATTAGCTAAAAAAAGAAAAAGGAAGAAGGAAAGAGAAGTGTTAAATAATGCTATTCAGTGCCGGTAAGGATACTAGTGGAAAAGGCACCGTCAGCTAGACTTAGTGTAAACGGATGGAACCTTTCTGGAAGCAGTCTTGCAGCATATACTATTATTAAAAGTTTATATCCTTAATTTCATTTCTAGAATGTTATCCTTAATACAATAATTTAAAAATGCAAACCAAAATGTAGATACAAAAATAATAGTGTTGTTAATAGGGTACAACATTAGGGCGCCTGGGTGGCTCAGTTGGTTAAGCGACTGCCTTCAGCTCAGGTCATGATCCTGGAGTCCCGGGATCGAGTCCCACATCGGGCTTCCTGCTCGGCAGGGAGTCTGCTTCTCCCTCTGACCCTCTTCCCTCTCGTGCTTTCTATCTCTCATTCTCTCTCTCTCTCAAATAAATAAATAAAATCTTTAAAAAAAAATAGGGTACAACATTAGACAAAAAGATAATGTCTGTATATTACAGTACATTAATTTGATGGAATATTAGGTTGGCACCAAAATAACCCAAATAATTTTGTTTTCTTTCTTCCTATTTAACCCATCCCCCTACCCACTACCCCTCTGGTAACCATCAGTTTGTTCTCTATAATTAAGAGTCTGTTTCTTGATTTGTCTCTCTTATTTTTTCCCCTTTGCTGGTTTGTTTTGCTTCCTAAATTCCACCTATGAGTGAATTCATGTGGTCTTTGTCTTTCTCTAACTGATTTATTTCGCTTAACATTATACTCTCTAGCTCCATCCATGTTGTTGCAAATGGCCAGATTTCATTCTTTTTTATGGCTGAATAATATTTCAGTGTGTGTGTGTGTGTGTGTGTGTGTGTTTACACCACATCCTCTTTACACCACATCATCTATGGGTGGACACTTAGGCTGCTTCCATATCTTGGCTACTGTAAATAATGCTGCTATATACATAGGGATTTGAGTGAATACCTAGGAGAGCAATTCCTGGGCCATAGGGTAGTTCTATTTTTAATTTTTTGAGAAACCTCCATACTGTTTTCCCCAGTGTCTGCACCAGTTGCATTCCCACTAACAGTGCAAGAGGGTTCCTTTTCCTCCACATCCTCACCAACACTGGTTGTTTCTTGTGTTTTTGATGTTTGACTTAGCCATTCTGACAGGTATGAGGTGATAACTCACTGTAGTTTTGATTTGCATTGATTTGCATTTCCCTGATGATGAGTGATGTCGAGCATCTTTTCATATGCCTGTTGGCATATCTGTATATCTTCTTCAGAGAAATGTCTGTTCATGTCTTTTTTCCCTTTTTAGAAAGAATTATCTGTGTTTTGGGTGTTGAGTTCTATCAGTTCTTTATATATTTTGGATACTAACCCTTAATCGGATATGTCATTTGCAAATACCTTCTCCCATTCCGTAGGTTGCCTTTTAGTTTTGTTGATTGTTTCCTTCACTGTGCAGAAACTTTTTATTTTGATGTAGTCCCAAT